GCACTTGTTACTAGGAGCAAGCAGCTATTAGCTTATTGTTTCTACTAGCTTCTTGTTACTACTTAGTAAGGCACTTGTTACTACTAGCGATGCACTTGTTACTAGGAGCAAGTAGCTATTAGCTTATTGTTTCTACTAGCTTCTTGTTACTACTAGTAAGGCACTTGTTACTACTAGCGATGCACTTGTTCCTAGTAGCTTCCTACCCCCCCCTCGCGCGCGCGCAGGAAAAGGTCCTAGTAGATTCCTTTGCTAGTAATTACAAGTGCCTCGCTAGTAGTAACAAGTGCCTTACTAGTAGTAACAAGAAGCTATTAATTCCAATTAAATTCTTATTGTTACTAGTAGTAAGGCACTTGTTACTAGTAGCTTCTTGTTACTACCAGTAAGGCACTTGTTAGTAGGAAAAGGGACGTAACTCTCGCCGTCCAAGGAGCCCAGGTGCCAGTCCTGCCACCCCACCGAGGAGCAGCACTCGCCCGGCAGACCTGGAGTGCCCAGTGTTTGGCGTCGGTTTTCGCCCAGCAAACCGGGCGCTTGAGGCTTGCGGCGATGTCTTTCGGCACCAGGATCGAAAGAACATGGGAGCTCTAGTTGTAAGTCCTTGAGCTTTAAGCTGAACATAGCTGAACTATTCACACCCAACAGCAATGACGTGTCATAACAAGAACGCAGCTCTGGATCTTGATAGAACTTCTGTGTAGATACGCCTCGAGACAACACCCACACGCTTCAACCGCCTGAGCCGCATAGACTTCCGGCTCTCCATGGCGGATGGGACCCCGAGCTGAGCCGACAACGCTTCGGAGTCACGCCTTCGACTGCGAAGCAAGTGGAAACGCTGTCTCGATGTGTTTTTCCTTTGGATTGTGCTCATGTAGAAGCTGCAGGTCTGCCATTCCACCTCTATCTTCCCACACATGTTCTCAGTGCCATGCATAGGTGGCACCGCCAAACTTCAGCTCGTTCATCGTGTAGAAGCCGATGACCTCCACACCGGAGCACGACCCCCACGAGCCCCTCGTAGCGCCCTTGCTCCTAGTAGCGATGCCCTTTGCTACTAGTAGCAATGGGGTTATTGAGCTCATCTGCTTCCCAAAAAATCTAGGAACCAAATCATTAGTGCGTGAGCTATCCTGCGTCCTGTCTGTAGTAGCTAACAAGTAAGGTAGTAGCTACCTCTCTAGCTACCTCTTCCTACCTAGCGGCTTACCCCCAGCCCCGGGCTTAAAAAGAAACAATGCTAACTTCCATGTGCCTTTTCTGACTTCTATATAGAGTCGTCCCGTGGCAATGGAAGAGAGAGTTGGGGAGTCCACAAGCGGATGACGAGCGATGGATAAGATTCTTAGAGTTTGAGGTGGAACTTCCAGTGGAAGAGAACTAGCTCAATTTGATGTTCATGTTCAAAAGCTATCCGCGCGGTAAAAACGGTAAACATCAAAACATTTATGTTTTTACCGCTTTAGTTGGGGGGGCAAACGGTCCTATTTTTAAACAACCTTTTTTAAGGGAGTGTCGCCCCTTTTTCTTCTACCATATCCGCGGTAAAAACGGTAAGCATCAAAAGTTTTCGGTGCAAGTGATGTAGGTTTTCACTACCTTGCAAAAGTTAAAAGTCATTAAATGTTGATCAAACATCAAACTCCTCTTGTCGAAAAGAGCACACGCTCCTATATGATAGGAGGGGTCAACGCCACCAGATTATAGGAAGATACCCAAGAGCTGTATGTAACATTAAGCCTTTTTGTTTACAGAGGTCTTCTAGCTTGCGACCTGTTCCCGAGGCATCCTCGCGGTAAAAACGGTAAACATCGGACATGTTCGTGTTTTTACATGTTTTTCTGCCGGGTCGCGAAAGGGTACCCCTTAGCAAAAAAATGCTCGCGAACCGGCTTAGTTCAAAAGCAATTGGGAGGCAAAGCATGCGCATTATCGGCTTCCCAGTTTGAGCAGGGCGATCTCCGGTCCATCCAAGTCCACTTCTTGCCTTCGCTTGGAAGATAAACATGATCGGCGACAACGTCAGCACTTGCTTCACCAAACGCACCGTCGAGGTCACGATGCCCGCCTCACGGTCAGACGGCCAAGTCCATCCGGTCAACTCGTCCACTTCGTTTTCGGTCGATGGGGTCAACGTGCGCACCCAGACCTCCATCCAAACCTCGAAGAAAATGGGTGCCATCTGCGCCAGGAGGAACAGGATCAGCAACTGGCCAGAGTAGATGTACTGCCAGGCTTCCGCCATGACAGACCTGAGAAACATCACAGCTCGGACCATAGAGTTGATTGATGCACGTGTTTGCGGATGCACTCCCGAATCTTTGGGTGCTTGGAATTTCACTCGCTATCATCCGCTATCAGCTTCTTTGCTTCAAACCACTCCTAACTCCTGAGGTTCCCACGCGGCACTCTGGCTGCCGACGATGCACCTGAAGCTCTCACGAAGCAGCCACTGTGGACTTGCGATTTTGCCGATCTGGGGTCTGCGCTTGATGGAGAGGTCGTTGGAGTCTTCACATCCGTTCAGGAGTACCAAGAGCCACACCAGCGTCAACACTGGCAACCCCCATGAGACCTCAGGCTCCATCGATTCCCCCATCGTATTAGGTTGGAGGCCATCGCTGGCGATTTCTGGCGATCCCGGCCGACCACTGCGACAGGTAGTGGCCCATGTGAGCGTAATAAAACCTGGCAGCGTGGCGTCGCGTGCCGGTGATGAGGCGCCGACGTGGGGTGAGACTTAGGCTAGGCCGGCTGAGGTCTCCAAATGAGAGCAGATCTAAGCGAAAGTCGAAGTTGTGTCTAGTGTGTGGCCGCACTGACCCTCATGCCAGCGTGGCGACAGGAACTCTGGCAGTGGCAGAAGGTTGCCCAAGCGGTTGGTCTGCCTGGTGATCCTCAAGCCCAAGGCTCAAATGAACACGTTAGTCTCAACTTGATTGGTTGGACCGCTCCACAGCAAAATGCTTTGGTTGCGCCATCCCGCAGTGTACAGTCAACTCCGTTTGAATCCGATTTTCTGTTTGCATTCTTCTTTTCTTCCAAAACCTGCTCCCCGAAAGAACCTTTGAAGCGCATGTGTGGCGCCCGCTCGCCAGCGTGCGATTTGCACTTCACCACCTCAACCTGAACTTCGAACTGCCGCTAAGCGCTGGACAATTGTTCCCCTGCTCCAGAGGAAAGCTTTGAGAAGAAGGCTAGAACCTCTGCGCTTGGACTGAACCGAAAGCCACTGCAGTGCAGGCAAGCCTTGATTCATGTCGTCACCCTCAAGTTTGGTAGGACAAGTTTTGGACATTGCATATGGCAGCTAAGGAAGCTACTAAGGGCTCCTGGCATCGCTACTAGGAGCAAGGAAGCTAGGACCAAACTCTAGAGTCTAGAGCTCCATGAGGCTGAGACGGTGTTGAAGCCCAAATCACGACCTCTTGGAGTGCGACACGACGTCGCGTCGCGTCGTGTCGAACGCGCCACGACCGCTCCACGGTTCAGTCGTTTCGGTCCAAAGCGATGGCCCAAGGCCCCGCGCCTTTCGCCAAGTGGAAGTACTCGCGGTGCTTGATGCTTCGACCTTGCCGTGCTCATCTCGAATACGCGAGGGAGACCGGTGGAAGGCTAACGCGCAGAGTTCAGGCGATTTTGGACTGCTAAGAGGAACCCCAAGGAAGATGTCAATGAAAGCCGCCGAAAACCGTCAGTTGCTTCATGTTGCTTCATTCCCGCACGTCCGGCCCAAAGCATTAAAAAGAGACGCTACTAGGGGCTCCTGGCCTTGCTACTAGGAGCAAGAAGCTTTGTGCGGACACATCGACCATCGACCCATCCGACCAAGTTCGCCTCCACCTCGGAGGACAAAGTCCATTCCGGCGAAGATGTCCTCTTGCACGAGGCCGACGATCGAAGGAAAAGAGTTCTCCAAAGAAGAACGGTTCAAACCCTCATTCATGCTTTCTCGCCGCATTCTTTCCCAACTCCCCCAACTCCCCCTTCCTGCCAAGCTTTGCACGAGAAACAAGCACCCTCCGTCGAGAACAACACATCGCGAAAAGAAACGCCCTTGTGCCCTCCAGCTTCGCCACGAGCCTCCGAAAGATTCAGGGTCTTGGTGGCCTTTGACACGCCTCCCTGCTGCATCATATACTCCTTCCGGTCCAGCTCGCTGAAAATCAACCAGAGGTGGAGAGGAGGCAATGCCACAAAGGCTCCAAAGAAATGACCGGTTCTCTTGGTGCGAGCGTGAAGCAAACTGACTTCAAAGGCGGCAAAACTGAGCCAAAAACACCGCTTCTCAGAGCGCCTTATTCATGATGTCTGGGTGGCCATAGTGCATTCGAGCCTGCGGATGGGCTTCGCGCGGGCTCGATGACGTCTGGTCTCACCCTGACCATCAAATGCAGAAATACCCGAAATCATGCGCTGTTTTTTTCAACTTCGAGCCGAGCTGAAAGATGCCACTTTTCGGCGAAGATTCTGCTCTTTCGGCCACGCTGAGCTATGTAACACGCGGCTCGGTACAGGAGAACAAGCACCGAGGTCGACATGGCGTGGACGCTCATGGACTGTCCAAAGTTCCTCCCAAACACCCCCAAATGCTTAGGGTTTTCACTTGAGTCGTGTATGTTTGTGGCAACACGACTGTCGATCTTGCGATGGTCGACCTGACTTCTCCAGCACCGTGCATGTTTCCGCCATTGCACTGGGCGAAGCTGTTTGAGCTCCTTTGTTGCTGATGCGCCCTCTCCATTCTGCAACACCCAAATGAACATGTGTAAACATGGGCAAATGCTCAGCTTGCCCATGCAATAGGAAGAAACAAGGGTTTCAAGCAGAACACGCTTGGTCTGTCAGACTAACCCTCTGGTGAATTCGATGCCTTCACACGCAGCCTGTTCAGCTTCATTGTGTCTGAGTCTTGCGTAAGAAACAAACTCCTTTTCCTACACCAAAGGGCTCCTTAGAGACGCAAAAACATCCGCATGTATCTGCTGGGAGGCTCACAGGTGACTTGGAGGACTTCCAAAAGTACCACCCACCCAAATGCAACACTACAAAAAAAACGCAGCAATCTTTGAAGGATGCTTGAAAAAGTCTTGCTATCGCCGCCTCGTCAGGGTGTCTTAGACCCCTTTAGGTGCCTTCTCTTTGCTCACCTGGCGACAGCAGGATGACGGCTCCTTGAAGCGACGAATGACATCGCCATTTCGCGGCTCCACATCGTTTTTCTTCCTTTCCTTTCCAGACATGGTTCTCGGTTTAACGCTTTGCTTCCCGCCTTGTGAGGACACCTCTTTAACTCCTTTAACTCCTAAGAAGGCCACGTCTGACGAAACTGGTCACCTCCACTTCTCAACTGGTCACCTCTGGTCAACTCTTGTGCTTCACAAAGGCAATCGCGGCAACCACTGGGGATGCCACATCCTGCCCTCGCATATGAAAAGTTCCGCACCCGCATGCGCCACGCCGCCCCTGTCCGAGTCGAAAGAACGGCTGAGCTTCCCGACCTGTCGGTTGAAATCACATGCCAAGGCATAGTCAAAATGCCACCTACATGCGGAAGGCACGGAGGCCTGCCCAGAAATGATGTCCCCGTCGCATGGTTCAGACTGGGCCCCTGTTCGTTTCGGCCCATCGCGCCGGACGCATCCGAGGGGCGTCATCCGTGCGGCGGCCAAATGGCCGAAAAAATTCGCACCAGGTCTTCTTCCGTTCGGCTGAATTGTGCAGGTTCTCGCCAGCATAGGTGGTGAGCATACCGGTTCTGAGCGGGCACTCCAAAGGGAGTGTCCAGGGGTTGGGTGCAGCGGCATGCGTGCCATGGGGGCCTACCCAGAAAGAAAATCCAAGTCAAATTCTTGCTCCACTTCATTTAGTTGGGAGTTGGGGGTTACTAGGGTGCCCAAGTTTTCAAGTGCGGAAGAAGGTCTTTGGATGTGTATTCAAGCAGGGACATTTACAACACTTCATCCAAAGTCACGTCTCTGCATACCCTGAGGGTGCGGCTCTCGGCGGATGTCCTGGAAAAGTCGTGCTCTCGTCGGCGACCGGCGGGATATGACAAGTGATTTTGGTGAATTCCAGGAATTCCACAATAAGACTGCTGCGCCCTGCAATAATCATGGAAGTGGAAAACCATCTAGTTCCCAATACTGCCCAGACCCAATGTTCAGTTCTCTTTGTGAAATATGACAAGCAGGGAAGTCCCGTGCCCGTGCCGTGCCGGTAGCAGTGCCCGTGGAACACATGATGTCTTCCTGCATACCTGGCGCCCTTTTACGGGCCACGGACTCGAAAACCAAAAAACAAAACTGGGGTGTGAAGAGCGCCAACCGAAGTGGGCCACATGCACGCTAGCTAATGTCAAGAACGTCATGCTCAAGAACGTCATGTCAAGCTAGGTGCGCCGATGCATTCTTGGGGAAAGCATCAGACGCGCACACTCTGACAATTGTATTCAGTTAACTCAATTCCCAATGAAAGGAATGGCTCAACGGTAAGGTGAGGAGTCTGATCAATTGAAGGTGTTTCAAACAAAAGGTTTTTTGCGCATCTGCAGACTCACGACAGCAGCGGACGAGCGGCGGCGCAGCTGCTGGGGAAGAGTAGGCTTGTGGGAAGTATCATGAACAACCATGGAAGCAAACAAAAAAGATTGGAAAAGCGTGGGCAAAAGTTTAAAACTGTTGCAGGTACGTGAGTCGAGCGTCCTCAACTCATATCACGGGAAACGTGCAGCGTCTTCGTTGGTCGCTGACTGCACGAATCCCCAGCGACCCCCTGCTTGAACGTGTGTTGGGTGGATCGGCTGAAAGAAACCCTTTGTCCAGGGGTGGACACACACAGATCGCCGTTGTCGGCGCTTTTTTCAAAAACCGGTGGCAGGCGTGGTGGTTGTGTCCTTTTTGGACATAAAGCCTCACTAGCTCGGCGGCAGCAGCTTCAGCGCTGGAGGGTGGAAATGTGTATTTTCGAATGGTGTGGAGTCTGGATTGGAGGCCTGACAGCGCCAAGCGCTGGCTCCCGGCAGTGGTGGAATCCCTGATTTTCCAGGGTTGGGAAGGTTGCATGTAGGTGATGGTGCGTTGTTGGAGGTCGATATTGAAACCCAGGAGATGGAAGTCGTCCACAGGTTCGAGCTCCACTGGGTCGCCAAAGAAGTTGTGGTGGATGAGGGTTTGGATGGCGGGATGGTGGAGGAAATGTTCGTTGTGTACAATGAAGCGGTTGTCCACGTATCGGTAGTAGGTGAAATGTAGGGCAGTGTGTTGCAGCAAGTTGTTGTGGATCTGGTGCCAGGAGTGTTCGATGAGTGTGATGGCTACATTGCATAGGGCTGGAGAGAGTTGGGAGCCAATCCCAGCTCCTCGGATTTGCTTGTAGGTGTTGTTGCAAGCCCGGAAAATGCAGGTGTTGAGTGCAAAGGCCACGATGGTGGTGATGTCGGATGTCTGGATGGTGCGTTGTGTGGGGTGCTTGCGATGGTGTCTGCCGATATGGGAATGGTGGAAGGGGTTGCCAGTGGCGTGGACGTCCACTGTGAGGGTGTGGGTGGATTGCTGTTGTTGCCAGTGGTGAATCATGGAATGTACTGCATCAATGAGTCTGTGTTGGGGGACTGAGTTGAAGAAGCCGACCAGGTCATCGTTGGTGGCGCACAAGGAAATATCTGCTGGGG